AAAAAAAAAAAAAAAAAAAAGAAAAAAAGAAAAAGAAAAAGAAAAAGAGTAGTAAAGAACTTAAAAACATGTTTATGTTACACTATTAATCACAAAAATAAACAATGTGAATTATTTCTAAAGTAACCACTATTCTATAAAGAACATCTAAAAAGGATAAGAAGTTATACTCTAAAATTCTAATAATCACCACTTTAAGTAGGGCAAAGACAGGTAACTTTTCTACCCTTATTTTCCAGATTTTTCTTTCTAGGTATTATTAGGATAAACTGAGGAACAGTTGAGACCACCAAGACAGGCAGAGTTTAACCAAAGTGGAAGAATTTTATTGCAGACTGAGTGTGTTCTGGCCAAGGGCGAATAGGCCATTGGCCCCAAGCAAGGGAGAAGAGTGGGTATTATAGGGGAGTCTGGGTAGGGACAGGGGGCACTGCCGAGGTGGGTACAAAATTTTGGGTCTCTGAGTAGGGAGTCTAGGGCTAGGAGACAGACAGGGCAATGCTGGGTACAGGAGGTGTTGGCAGGCACAGCATGTCTCTTGGATTTGTTTGCCGAATCAGCTCTCCGCAGTTGAGCTGGGCAGGGGCGCTGCTACCTGGTAAAGTTGCTCAGGAGCAGCTACCAGCTTCCAGTTGAACAGCAGGCTCCCACAGGTGTGAACAACAGATCTTCGTGGAGAGTTTTTCTCTCCAAGCTGGGTAGGGGCCTGGTTCAGAGACCTGACGGATATATGTTCATTTCATTTAAAAAATAAAATTTTAAAACTCAAATAACTAAAGAAACTTTAGTGTTACTTTGATAAAATACTAACAGCACTATTCATTTATCTTATTCCTCTACAAGAAAAATATATATAGCCTTCAGTGTTTTAGTTCCAACAGGCACTAAGCTAAATATTTCATAATATCTTACTCCTTTTTTTCTTATTTGTTTTTGTTGTATTTTGTTTTTTGATGTTGTCAGTTTCTTCGTTTGTTTGTTTGTTTTGCAGTGGAGGGGAGCCAACCAGAATTCCATTATGGGCGCTAAGCCAAACACTCTACCACTGAGACATACTTTAGTAATAAAAATAAGATAGTGTACATTTTCCAAAAAAATAAATTTTAATGAGTTAATATGAAATTTACCAGAACATTTAAACTATTTCTTTGGTGGACTCTTGATGTCACTATCACTCTTAATGGTGAGGTAAAGCACGCAGGCTACCTGCATCATAACTTTCAAGCGGTCCAGAGGTGCAGTGCACGTCCGTGTGACTGCACTCGCTATTCCTGCTGCCACCAAACGCTTCCACCAATCTCCAGACTTCTTTTCTTTTGCAGTAAATTCATCTGGAATGGCTATACTCTCTCCGATATCAATTATCTGATAAATGCAAAAACAAATTAGACAATAAAAAGTGTAAGTATATCATAAAGTACGTAATAACTTTTGATAAAGACCAAAAATACCTTCTCATGAACCATATCACCTATTAAGGACATTAACACTAGTAAAACCCTGTTTCAAAAAAAGACAAAAAACACTATGTTATCTTCAGAATGCAATTTATGTTTGTTTGTTTATTTGGGGGTTTTTTGGTGGAACCGAGGATTGAACTCAGACCCTTGCACTTGCCAGGGAAGCACTAACTCTACTGAGCCATCCTCCTAGCCCCTAAAGTTTTATAAATTTCCATTTTTGAAAATAGCTTGCAGTGAAGTATTTCAAGTTCTAAAGGAAAATAATTATCAACCCAGATTGATATACTCCCAAAAAGTATCTTCCAAAACCTATGGAGAAATAAGACACTTCAATGACAAAGAACAACTGAAGAACCTGATGACCACCACACCAACCCTACAAAGAGTACTCAAAGATATTGTAGAAAGAGATTTAAAAATAAAGACCACAACTTCAAGAACAGTAGAAAAGAACAACCAAGCAGAGCAAGCAATTAAGCTGAGGGGGAAAAGCAGAGAATCAACAGCAGAAAAATAACATGACAAAGTTATTTTCATACGTGTGTGTAAAGTTATTTTATATGTGTGGGGCCAACACATATCACTTGTAACCATCAATGCAAATGGCCTCAACTCACCAATCAAAAGAAGCAGACTGGGTGCTGGGGAGATAGTTCAGTGGTCTAAGTACCTGCCTAGTAAATGCAAGAACCTGGGTTCGACCCCTGGTACTGCATGCCCTGTCGGCCCCAGAATCCCAAGTACAACCTGCCAACCCAAAAACCAGGTATGGTGGTACACACCTGTAATCTCAGTGAGGAAGATTACAGGATCTGAGGAAGGAGGATCACTATGAGTCTGAACTGCATAGCAAGGCCCAGTACCAAATAAATAAATAAATAACTTTTTAAAAAGCAGCAGACTGGCAGCAGAATGGATCAAGAAACAAAATCCAACAACATGCTGTATAAAAGAAATATAATTGTCAGGGGGAAACTACAGGAGAAAGGGAGAACAAGCATAAATATATATGCACCAAATACAGAAGCACTCATCTATATCAGACAAATCTTAACAAACATGAAAATCAAATAAGCAATAACACATTTGCAATGGGAGACTTTAACATCCCACTATTACAAAGAGATAGTTTGAGTAGACAAAAAAAATCAACAGAACTAAAGCAAACTTGTGAATAAATAGAGTTAGTAGACTTTTAAGAGTATTCCACCCAACAACATTAGAATACACATTTTTTTCAGCTGCACACGGGATGTTCTCCAAAACAGACTACACACTAGCACATAGAACATGCTTAAGTAAATACAGAGGAACTGAAATTATCACATGCATATTATCAGACCATAGTGCAATGAAATAGGAAATTATTGACAAAAGAAATCACAAAAACTCCATAAACATGTGGAAATTAAATAACACTCTCCTGAACAAACAATGGGTTAACAGATGAAATTAAAGAAGAAACTGAACAATATCTACAATCAAATAGAAATGCAGATACAAGTTCCTGGAATCTGTGGGAGGCAATGAAAGCAGTCGTAAGAGGGAAATTTATAGTACTGAATTTTCACATCAAGAAAACCAAATGAACCCAAGGCCTGTGGATCATCATTCGACCCAGAGTGCAGGCCCAGCGAGGAACCCTTCAGCAGAACTCCCTGGAAAGAGGCTAGAGGCAAGACCCCCTCCCCCCAGCTGATTCAGGAGGAGAACATCTTGCCAGAGTGACACAAAGGGTTCAACTCTAGGGCTGCAGCAGAAAGAAGTGGAGCACAGCAGCCAGATCCAAACAACACCCACCTGGAGGAATCCGAACTTCGTAGATCTGGACCTGATGCTAAGGTAATAACTCTATCTAAGCTCTACACCAAAGGTCAGAAGACAGGTATATAAAATGACAAAGAGAAGGAACAAAATGCAGTCTCAGGACCCGAGTCCACCCAGTACAACTGCAGAAGACACTAGCACTGAGGAAACTGGAAATCACATGCCAGATATCTCTGAAATAATAGCGTTGGAAGTAAAGAAACAACTGCAGAAAGGTACAGAAGAAATCAGATCAGAAATAACTTTGGAACTAAAAAATTTAGTGGTAACTATAATTAAAGAAGTACTAAGTGCTTCTAAAGAATACAATGATAAAAAAAAAATAGAGCTGAATATAAAAATGATGGAACCCCTGAATAAACAATTTAGGAAAGAAATAGAATCTATGAAACAGGTTCAAAGTAATATACAGGAAATTAAAACCTCAATCACAAGCTGGCAAAACTGTTTGAGGGAAAGTGAAAATAGAATTTCTGACCTTAAAGACACCACTGCAGCTAGTGAAAAAGTACAAAAAGATCTCTTTAAAACAACTAGGATGGGGCTGGTGAGATGGCTCAGTGGTCTAAAGCACCTACTTAGAACAAGCTTAGCAAAGCACAGGGACCACAGTTCAATGCCCCAGCACCACATGCCAGCCCGCCCCGCCCCCTGGTGGGCTGAGCTGGCCACACACACACACACACACACACA